TAAACGAGGTTTGGCTACGCCTAGTTCTAAATTTCCGCGTGCTTCCCTTGCTTAGCCTGGGAATTTTAGTAGTCGATCCTAACGAGTCCCTGCGCTGCATAGTTTTGTACAAAATGAAAGTATTCGTAATTTGATGGCAATGCAAACGTACCACGAACAAGATCTAGTTAAATCACTTAACGCTGCCTACTCGATTCCGTCAGTATCAAAATGTCTCTTAGATCTCTCACGACTAAATTAGTGACTCAGCTAAAGTTACACACAGGGTCTACCCAGTATTGATATAATGCTAACTCAACCCGGTTGTATAGTATAACAGTATCACTAAGTTTCCACAAGATATAATCGACACACAAAACACAATCGATAATCAGATAAGAATATCCTACAGGTGACAGCGACCTTTTGTCAGTATCAATTTATCGCCACACAATTTATCAAGTCACTGCTTTGTTAAAATTAAACAATCTTCGATAAAAAGCAGTGATGATTCAGAAATAGATAAATAAAACTTAGTCTTAAAGAAAAAGACTTCCCCCAATCGGAACGATCCGAAAGAACGAAGCCCAGGACACAGTCTTCTCAAGTGGGTGTGTATTTGCCTAATACACCCACCGAGGTCTTCTTTTAGGTGTCCTGCGATTGCCCGAGCTGTCCTACTAAGTAGCTCAAGGCAACCTCTTGGTCGAAAATTCGTCAAATCTATGAAAAAGCTCTCCCACACTCGGACTGCTCCAAGTGCACGAGAGTAGGGAACAATTCTTCTTCTCAAGTGGGTGTGTATTTGCTTAATACACCCACCGAGGTCTTCCTTTATTTGTTCCCGGATTGCCCGAACTTTCCTATTAAGTAGCTCAAGGCAACCACTCAACCAAAATCACAATCAAAAAAAAATTTTGTTCGGGTACTTCTAATACACCCAATATAGAATCCAAAGTTGATCACGAATTTCCGGGTCAGAATGGATTCTTATGATCCTGATAAGCACGCCTAATATCCTAATATGATCCTAATTAAATGGATATTTTCCGTTTCCCAAATTGCCACAGAAGGTTTACTCAAGTCTCTTACAAGGAGGGTCGCTAGAAGGTTTAAGACACTCCGGAGGGTTACCTCGGAGGGTACCTCAATCACTCAAGTTACTTAGGAGGGTATCTTAATCACCCAAGTTACTTCGGAGGGTCCCCTTAAATTTACTAAGGAGGGTCAATAAGATGCTTAATACGCTCCGGAGGGTCACTTCGGAGGGTACCTCCAAAATTTTCAAATTTTCTGATCTCACTTGGAAGGTTCTCCTACTAGCTTCAAAAAGCGTCAAAATAAGCTAAGGGTTCTAGGGGGAGCTGTTTCAACTTCTTAGGGTGATCTCGTGGAAATTTTCCACTAAGGAGGGTTGCTAAAGGGTTTAGCTGACTCCGGAGGGTCACTTCGGAGGGTTCCCCCTAAAATCAAGAAAAAGGGTTAAATCACCGCAGTAAAGCCTCTGAAAGCGGTCTACCTGACTTAAGACTAGGTTGGCTGACACGGTCAACCTTCCCAGTTGAATAAAAAGATGTTTTGATAAAATTTTCTGCCGCTCGGAGGGTTGCCCGTTACTTGGACCCTCCGAACCAACAAATTCTAAAAAATTTTTCTTTTCCGAAATAATCAACCCAAAAACGGTTGCGATTCGGAAAAGTGGTCAAAAACGTCGACTTATGGTACCAAAATTATCCCGATCGGATAACTAGTCTTTGAGAAATCGCCAAAAACGCGTTCGTCAAAATGGCCTTTTTCACCACCTGTGTAGGATCTGAAAGACTTTTTTCGCAATTCCGGTCGAAAGTGCCTAAAAATACTTGAAATGAGCGTAGTAGCCCTGTACGGCACTGGAATAATGCAAAAAACCGGACCAAAATTGGTTTAGAAACAAAAATTTGGCCAAAAACTATCAAATTTGGACCCTCCGATTCCTTCCTTTTCCAAACCTTAAGTCGTTAGCTCTATCCACGGAGCTACTCGGAGGGTTATCCAAAAATTTCTCTAGTAACCGAGCACGTTATGCTAGCACGCTCCTAACGCAAAAAATTTTATTGCTCTAACTCTAAAAACTCAAAAAATCGATCCCCAAAACAGATTGACAAAATACAGAAAATTATCAAAATTTTGGTCGAAAAATTCTCGTTTTCCTAACTTCTACTGAATCTTTGCTCACGCGGTTTCTTTAATAAAGGGGATCGAACTACGTGGCTACTCTCTATATAAAAGCTTTTTGCCTATCGGAAAAGCTCGGATATCCGAAAATTTGGGGGTCTACAGTTTGGTCGAAAATTGGTAATTTTCGACAAAAAATGGGTGTTTCTTGGGTCTAAATAGGAGATAAGTAATATATAGTAAGGACAATAATCTATAAATAGTCGTTAATAAATAGTACTATACCCTCCTTTGCACCAAAATATTCGAATTAAGACCCTTAACTCGGAAATTTGTAATCGATGGAGGGTACAATCGGACCGCGCCAATCGTGCCCCCCACCACTTAAGTTTTAAGGAAATAGTACCCGAACGATACTAAAATTGCTTCAACGATACCCAACAGTCGTTGCGGATGTTGTCCTTGATGTCCCTGTTGAGTGTGGAACACGTTGATCAGCCTGCCACTCTACCCTCCGGTCACCGGCAAAATCACCATTAACGTGCTTAAACACTCAAATTACACTCGAGGGAGGGTACCCAACCCTTCACCAAAACACACAATCTCTCTATCAGAAACGATATAAATCAATCTGAAACAACAACAAATAGGAAGGTCAGATCACATCTCGTCCGGAAATAACATATAAACTGTCACTTTATGTTTTTTTACTGTTTTTGGTCTTTTTTGGATTTTTTACTGTTTTTTGTACTTTTTTTGTTTTTAAATAATTATTTTTGGCTTTTTCTTGGTTATACACTATTTTTTGTTTGGTTTTACGCTTTCTCTTTAATTGTTTTTGGTCCTGGGACCTCAGGACAAGCGGGCTCTAGATTTCCCACCTAACCCTCCGACCCCCGGAATTTTCGGTGTTAACTAAGTTAAAAAGCTAAATCGTACTAGACGGAGGGGTACGCACCTTCCCCCTAGTACGAAAACGGTCATTAAGGCCTCTAACTCGGGCATACGCCCGGAGCGGAGGGTACGTCGCTGAAACGCTTGCTGATCATGATGGTTTCATGCCTTTAACAGGCCCACCCAGGAGCGCCATAAAAACGTCTATGTAACATTCGCCCAAATATCACACAGCGACGGAGCGTAGAAAAAGTACCTATTGACGACTGGCAGGCGTCAGTTACCTTAATTCCACTCGTTTTTCACCGTCTCGACCTTGCCAGTTGATTTTCTGGTCTGTCTAGGGCAAAGTAAAAAGTTACTATTTTTAGGCCATCAGTCAAACGACTTTTGATCAGCTTTCGTTTGCATGCGAACACAACCACATAGCTGAGTCTCGGATCCTCAGACTACGTGATTGTCATTAAAAACACGGCTCGAACCACCTATTTCTATATGTTTTTGTGTGACAGTTTTATATTAAATCCATTGGAGATGGATTGACCTTTTCCTTTCTCTATCTACTCATGCTCTGAAATATTAAATAATAACGGTGTTTAATTCAGATCTAGGACATTACAGCAACTGTTATGGCTAGTTTACACAGTCCCTTCACATATAACAGTCTCTGGGGGACCAAGCCTCCGCTCCCGTGATTTTCTTGAGACAACACTCTTATCTCCTATATTTCGTGTCCCGGGAGGGTTCCGTGGTATTTCTCTTCCCCCCACTGAAGCCTCCGTCTCCACAAATATCCGTCACTAAGGTCCTTATCGTGTGTTATTGCCACGATAAGAGGCTCCGTAATTTTCTCGTCTCGGATACAACCGTTCGTCACAAAATATGGCGTCGTTCTGATTTTTCTCTATTTTATTCAAAATGGCCGTCTTTTTTCTATTTCTCAGAAATGTTCTCCTTCAAATCGAAATTTTAAAAATAAAAATTCCAGAACATTCTGACCCTCCGTCGCAACACTTTTCTGTTCGTAAGGCCTTTAGTCACTTTTTTTTCCGTCGCGGGAAGGTTATACTGTGTCATCCGGCGGAATGGCACAATTCTAGAGCATGAACTTATCCTTGCTGTCCAAACTATAAAACATTAAACTTCTCTTAGTTATTTATTTCTTGAGTTAGTTACTGACTGGATTATTTTCCCAACTCTTGAGAGCGCTGATATGTGAGTACGAATTTAAATTCTAGAGTGTGTTTTATGATTGTTATGTTGAGGTAAGGCGAGTTTTAGGTTGATCCATCTGAAATGGATCAAAGTCACACTGTCTAATAAAAAGTAACCTAACGGATTGTTCCAACCCGGTTTTTAACGGCGTTCATGTATTTTGGGTATCTAGAGACCTAAGTATGGGGACGTTTCTAATTCTAGAGTGGGGGGATATTTTAGTAGTAGCCTTTAAGCTGTAACGGGTCGTAGTCTCATGTCACAAGCGAACCGAACTGGCTCCGACCGTTCTTGAGGTGGGAAAACACAAGAGATAGTGTCCCTGACCCTTGAGCCAGTGGTTATAGGGCCTATTTTTCTTAAGCCTCATGTGTGACTGCAGTAGACGAATGTTACATTACAACAATCAGAAAACGTCGTCTTTCATTGCGGGCGAATGTTACAGCTACAGGCAGCTTATGGAATGGTAACATGGATGAATTTTAAATGCATTTGACTGCCTCGAATACGCTGTATGATCATTAACTGTTCTTAACGTTGTATGATCATTAACTGTGCAATTTTAAGATTTTTTAGTTTGGTTTTATTGGTATACGCTTCATATTAAATCTTGATTAAAATGTTCATTTTTCAATGCGGAAAATGAATTGCGTTGCAATCGTATTTGAAAGGTGTTTGTCATGCTACAAAATTTCTCAGATATGTCAATTTTCATGCATATCACTGTTATATTGGTAAAGTGACAAACTGTTTCCTTTCAGATATATGTTCCTCAGAATCTGCTGAGAAGCGTGATTTATAAACCATGGTAAGTCAGAGTCGTTTGCTCTGCTATATTGCTTTCCCAATTAATCATGGTGCAAATGTAATTAATTTTTCAGGTACTGTTAGCAGCAGCAGTTTGTACGAAAGGGGGTAAAGGTACGCAGTCTCATTTTTCATGCAGTTTTCAAATTGTATTTTAACCATTTTATCAACTAGTAATAGTTGTTTGGCAAAATTTGGATTTTATTGTTCGTTGTATGTTTTTTGCAGTCCTCGTGTCCCGGCAGTTTGTTGACATGAATAGATCAAGAATCGAAGGTCTTCTCTCCGCCTTTCCGAAACTGATTACAAGTGGGAAACAGCACACATTCGTTGAGACCGAGAGCGTCCGATATGTTTATCAAGCAATTGAAAAATTATACATAGTGCTAATCACAACAAAAAACAGCAACATATTAGAAGATCTGGAAACATTGCGACTTTTTGCTAAAGTGGTAAGCCTGCCTGTGCAGATTGCATGATTTATAAATTGCTTTAATTTTTCCTTATTGAAACTAAAGTATCCAGTTAATGTGATCGTAGCACAAAATATTCATACGTAAAAGGGTTTGGTTACTTATTATTGCAAGCGTTACCAAATCGAAAAATGTACTTTTTTCAGGTTAACAACTTACTTAGCAAAATCATCTGATAGCTTGATTTGTAATAAATTCAATTTTCTCCGTCACACTTGGCCTAGAGGTAACGACTTTGCCTGTAAGGGCTAATTTTTTCAAATTTAATCTGGTCAGGGCCTGCTTTATGAAATTTTTTACATTTGCGAAAGCAAGTTTCTTGTACTCGGAAACTAGATTTTTTTTCCAGTAAACAACTTGTCTTACAATTTTTCAATTTGCTATCTGTTATCTATCTTCTATCTATTATATATTTAAATCCGGGCTTCAATATCTCGCCATGTTCAAGGTTTTTCAATGCGTTGTTTTTGCATGTTTAACGAAAGACTTTTTTTCTCACTTAAGCTATATCGTATATTGCAATGGTTAAGTCTATTTCCAGTCTGAATTCAGTGCTTATTTCACTAAATTTAAAATTAGCAACTCAATAATGTGAGCTTACAGGGGTTTTCCAGGGGTTGCTAATTTGGCCTCCAATTGTGAATACCCAAATCCCTTTAGCTTACAAGATACGGCAACGTTTGTGATTTTTCAATTGTTTTCAGAAAACTCAAACTAGAAAATACTTCACAAAATTTGAAATTCCCAACCCTGTAGTTGGCTGCTGTCAGAATACGTTCAAAGATTGCGAATGTTGCCTCCAAAGATGACTACTCAAAACCTTGTAGTTTTCGAGATAAGACTTGTTTTATGATTTCTTAAATTTTTCAGAAAACTTTTAAATATTCATAAGATTTGAAATTCCCAACCTTGTAGTTATTTACTGTCAATGTACTCTTGAAAGTTCCAAATGGCAAGTCTTGCGTCCAATTGTGATTGCTCAGATACTCTTAGTTTCCGATATGTGACGTTTGTTATGTCTTTTTAAAAATTGTTCAAAGAACTTAGATCTAAAAAAACTTCAAAACAATTTAAAGTTCCCATCTCTATAGTGAGACTGTGTAGCTGCAGTCAAGATAACCCAGGGGTTGCGAATTTCGCCTATTTATATTTGCTTGTTTTTTCCAAAAATGTTCGGAAAGCTTACAATTTAAAATGTTCGGAAAGCTTAAATTTAAAGCTTTTAGATTACTCTCAGGTTTTGCGAATCTTGCCTTCAAATGCGACTGTTTAAATTGATATAGTTTGTGATATATGACGTTTTTTTATTTATTTTTTAAAGTTTTTTTTAGAAAACTTAAATTTGAAGTTTCTCAAAATTTGAAATTCCCAACTCTGTAGTTGCAAATCTTGTCCGAAAGCGACTGCTCAATGGTCATAGTTTCCGATATGTGAGGTTTGTTATGTCATTTGAATTATTGAAAATTTAGAATTTAAATATAAAAAAACTTCACAAAAGTTTATGGTTTTTTTTTCAATTTGAATTTGAAAAACTTGAATAAAAAAACTTAACAAACCCTGTAATTAGGTGCTGTCAGAGTAACTTCAAAGGATGCAGATCTTATTTCCAATACATGAGTTTTTTATTTGTCAAAAATTCGAAGCACCGGAGGTGCGTTACACGCTAGTATAATTGAGTCTTCGCAACATCAGGTTCTTCGCATTTGGACTAGAGGTAACGCCTTTGCTCCCTGAGGTCCGGGGTTCGAATCCCGCCCATACCATGTTTTTTGTTCCGGCCACGTCTCAAAAACTATCCTCCAAATCTGAGATTTTAGTGTTAATGAACAGAATTTATTGGAAAAGCTCCCCTGCATAAGCGGCTGCGCACATAATTATATGGCCCTCGGAATGTTCATTTTTTTTTGAAACTTTGACCATTTTTTGAATCTTTTTGACGTGTCTCGAAAACTTTAACTCCCAAATTTGAGATTGTGAGTTCATTGGAGATAACGGTTAGTGGGAAGCTTCCCTGTAATAGCAGCATCTCACAAGCCACTAGGCAAATTCAAAACCTTTTGACAATTTTTGGAAACTTTTTGAATTTTCTCTTGAACTAATCTCTCAAATCTTAGTTCTATTGAAACAACAGGTTGCGTGAATACCTTCTTCGTAAGCGGCTACAGACAATATTTTTTAACAGCAAGTTGTTGAGAGCCTACCTGCATAAATGGTCACTGCAATTTGAAAGTTTGACGTTTTTTGGAATTTTACTCGAAAACTAGCGTGCCAATTCTCTGGTTATGTGTTCGATCCAGAAACCCGCTTTTGGATTCTCTTCTAGTTTAATGGCAGTGACCTGCTTTTTGCAGAAACTTTTTTATTCGGGTTTTTGAAGTTTTGACCGTTTTTAAGATTTTCATATGGGTATACTAATATAGGTAGTTGTTAGTAGTTTAATTTATTCTCTATAGTGTTTTAAGCACTAATTTTTTGCGATTTTAGTTTTGTTTAACTTTTGAGAAGTTTTACATTGCAGATTCCAGAATACAGTCACTCTGTTGACGAAATGGGAATTGCAGAGAATGCATTTAATTTGATTTTCGCATTCGACGAAATCGTAGCTCTGGGATATCGAGAAAGTGTCAACCCACAAATGATCAGAGGCTTTATCGAGATGGACTCTCACGAGGAAAAAGTGCAACTGGCTGTTCGACAGGTTGGTTTTTTTATTTTCCAGCTAATTCAAAGAAAGAATTTATTTCTCCAGCATATAATTACATCGTGCATTAATAAATACAATTCACAAAAACTTTCATTAATTCAACAAAATCGATTTACGTTAAATTTATGAAAAGAAAAAATATCCTGGAGAGGATAGGCGAAAGGCATGTATGATGCCGACTTGGAGCCTACTCTTGAACATCATTGCAGTCAAAGCAATTCAACGAATCAAAGATACATATTAGAAAAATTGAAATTTATAATAAAAAAACATAAATTACGTACTTCAAATTTTTTTTCAGAAAGGTTTTTAATGTAGTTTTACGCAAGATGAGGTGTTGCTCTGTACTATTTATTTCTCGAACTGACATCTGAAGCAAAGAATATGAGTTAAGTGTGTAATTTAGAGCCAAGAAAGGGAAGCGAAGGCGGAGATGAAGAAGAAGATCAAAGAGATGGACAATAAGAGGAAACTGGATGAACGAGGAGGTCGTCGAGGCATTGGCGGAGGGAGACCGTACGAAAGTATCAGTTCGGTGGTCACAGTCACGGCCCCGGTAGAGCAGCCCAAGTACAATATGAACGCCAATACTAACTCTAGTAACCGAATCACAGCGGGCAAGAAGGGCATGCAATTGGGTTCAAAGAGGGGAAATGTGGACAGTTTTGTGGACCAGCTCAAAAACGAGGGAGAAGGTTTGGCATTATTTTGATCTTTTTTCAAGCTCTGCTCTAGCCTAAAGTCAATTTAATTAAATCCAAATCACGACTGTCCGAGCACTTGATGCTATCGGCACCAGTAGCGATACATTTCCGAGTTTGCAGTGGATTGCTTGCCTTTGAGACATCTATTCTAAACCGGAGTACAGACATCGTGCAGTTAAAAACGTTGTAAGCTCTCTTTATAGTGGAAAACTGAAGTCATCGATAAAAACGAAGGAGGTGAATCGCAGGCGTCCCCTGACCATCAAGCTATGAAGCATCAACTTTCTGCACAGTGTGGATATGTTCCGCCTCAGAAAAATTTATCTTGTTTTTGTATTTTTGGTTTATTTGTTATTTTGTTTGATTGACTCTGGTGCTTGCTTACAAGTTTTAATGTTCTGTGTGGTTTAAGATGCTGACGATGAGCGATAGCTCGAAAGTACTTCAAATTGAGCATTGATCCTCAATTTTTTTCATAATTACAAATCGTTGGCAACATCGTTATCGGTTTGCGGATCTGCTCAGACTTTTCAGCTAAATTTCCTCTTTTGGCCATGTGTATATTTTGAGACGACAATTTAATTAATGCAAAGTTAGTTGTTTACTTGCTGGTATTTTTAGACATCCGTTCCGCTGGACTATCGGACAGAAACAGGCCATTGGAAACTCCAGTTGTCCCACCTTCTCGAGTTCAAATTGAAAAGTAGGCCTAATTTACTATTTAGTTGCTTGTAAGCAAACTCTTTAAGTCCTTGACAGAAATTTTTGCAATGTCCCTGTTTCTTGGCATTTTGTCGTCCTATCTTGATGATACTTTCACAAACGAGCCAGAATCAGTTGCCACGTGTGTCTTCTAAATGTTACTTTGAGATAACACAGTTCGTAGAAGCCACGTAGTTTGTTGCAACTATCCTTAAGTATTTGTATTTAATGCGTCAATTTGTAATTAAGAGTAATGAACGTAGTGAGTACTCTTATTTAGGCCCTGCTGATTTTTTTTTTTGGGTTTTTCAGGAAAAAGTCTTAAAATTTGTTCACGCTCAATTTTGATTTTTCGCTGTTTGACTTGTGATTTCTTTTAAAGTTCAGTACATTTTTTTTGTTAAAAGGAAGGCAAACTCCACTATCGAACAGCAAAAATGTAAAAGTCACGAACAACTGATCGACTTCTAATTTCGAAAAAGGAAATTAATTATCAGATATCCCAGTGAAATAAAAAATTTACCTATTGATCCAGTTTTCTCAAATTGGATAATTTTTAACAAAGAAGTGTCCATCAGAAATTGTTCTACAAGTTCAAAGAGCTTTAAGGCCATCTATTTTTCTTCGAGATTCAAAAGTTTTTTTTAAATTCAACTAGTTGAGCACAGCTTGTTCCCACCGCGTTCATTACACTAGCCAGCTTGCGAGCGTTAGTGTAATAGTACGAAAATTCTTTTTTTTCTAATCTAACTCGCAAATAAAACTGTTCACTTATTTGGTGACACTTCTGCTATAATCACGATCTTAAGCCTTCGGAATTTCATAGCATCTATTCTATGCTTTGCTTTATTTGGAGCTAGTGTATGTGATTTATTAAGCGTCCGTGGCTGAGTGGTTAGTGTGTGAGACTCATAATCTCTTGGTCGCAGATCGAATCCGAGACGTAGACGCATTTTTACTAATTCAAGGATCATTTTTTTTCTTTATGGTTTTTAAGAGTTATGAACGTAGAAGACTCTTTGATTTATATATATTTGAAAATGGGAAGTTGGAAAATGTTCAATTAACTTTGTTCGGTTTTACTTGGCTTTGTTTTCTAATTTGTCTTCGTATTCTTAATTGTTTGTGTTGGGTGTGTGCGTGTGTAGTGTGCATTTGCGGGTTGAGGAGAAGTTGTCGGTGGTGCTGAACAGAGACGGGGGCGTGGAGTCGTTCGACCTGCACGGAATGATGTACAACAAAGTGTTCGAGGAGAGATTCAACAGAGTGGCCATCTATCTCAAGAACCACATCAGAGGCACACAGCCACAGGTCAGTACACACACGCTGAGGTGCATATGGCACAGTGCTTAGGTTGTTGTTGTTGTAGCTACATCGATCTCTGCTTCGAGCTTCTGATTGAATTAGAGAGATTGTTTATGTTTGAGAGATCGAGAGAGAGAGAGAGAGTTAGGGAAATTTCGTTCCTGACTGGTCATGGCAGTGCATAGGTCGGATCTCTTTAACTATATCCCCCTTTTGCAAAAAGGGGGGATTCGTTAATAGGTATAAAATTTTGATATGCTTAACCGTTGATTTATTTCATTGTAGGGGTGGGGGGATGTTTGTTACTAGGTATCCGAGGGGGATATACTTAAAGAGGTCCGTTAAGTCAGCACAATTGCTATCACAATGGAAACAGCGGAGGTGGGAGTGCATCAATAAATTTTTTCGAAAGGGAGGACAAATTTGGAGGACCTTTTTTCAAGTTGACCCAACTGATTAACGAGCACTACAGACGCTATTTGTGTGAAAAAAGTTCTGCGCCACAAAATAACTCGGAGAAAGTTTGGCTTCAGTAAAGTTTTAGGATTGGTCAACCAAAAAATGGATGTCGTAAAATGTGAAAAAGAACCAATTTGGGGATCCTTTCGGTTGTCAGGGAGTCAAATCCCCGAGAGAGCGTCAAATCCCCAAAATCGGATGCTGTTTTGTTGTGTAATTTCAAAGTTTCATTTTTACACTCGCGAAAGCAATTGTGTTGCAATCACATAGCCTTTTTTTCGTTAGTTTTGTTTACAGGACTCATTTCCTGGTCCGCCGTGTAGGAAATACTGCAACAGACATATTTTGAGCATATTAGCGATTTAACTATCCGCTCGGTTCATTCTAAGCTTCTGTTGGTCGTGATTTGATCAATCCGATTTGTTAAAAATTGATTTGTTTTTGTGGCCTCAAAATGCGTCGTTGATAAGCGAAAAACGTTTTATGTTTGCGTGTGTGCGTTTTGAAGAGAGACTGAAAAAGTTTCACTAGTTTTTAAGTCTAGTCTTTCAAAACTTTTTGACTTGAGTTTCTGGGTGATATATTACAATAGGTGGTAGGTTCAATTTGAATAGCTGGATCGCTTTTTGTTATACTTCGCACGTTAATTATAATTTTTTCGAAAGCCAATTTTTTCGGCAAAAGAAGTGTGAAATTTGATTTTTTTGATTAAAATTTCATTTGGCAGAGTAATTTATTTACAAAAACTATTGAAAATGATATGACAATGATTGAAAATGAAAAGACTATATTATGCATTTTAGTTGTGAAATTTAATACATGCACTATACTCAAAATTACCACCTATTGTAACATATCACCAGTTTCTGCTCAAGTATTTTCGGCGTTGTTACCGCTTGGTAATTTTATTCCGATGTTTTTTATTCGCTTGTTTTTCAAAACTAGCTTTATTCATTTGATAGATCTAGTTTTTTCGACCGTGCGAGTTTCTTGTATAAGTATAAGCTGTGCTTCGCCTCTGTGTGTTAAATTTATATCTACTCAAGTTTTTGCAGCGCAAATGAAGATCTAGAAGAACGCAAAAGTCGATAAAACGATTTTTATTGAATTGAACTTCATTGCTTATCGCTACTGCAGAATTTTTTTTTGTCTTGGAAATTTCATAATGAGGTTTTTAAACTCCGGTCTGGTTAAATGGGAGTTCAAATTGAAGTGTGTTTCAGCCGCATCCGAACATTGACAGACAGCGTTTCGTGAATGACCACGTGATTGCTCTGCGGAATGCGGAGAAGACATTCCCGGTGAACACGGACACGGGGGTGCTCAAGTGGCGACTGCAGTCCCAGGATGACTCATTTGTCCCATTCACTAGTAAGTTTAAACAAGACTGCTCGTATCAGGGCGAAGCCTTGAATGTTCCGACTGCCTTTTAAGGTCTATGGAGCAGTAATAACCTGAAAAAATTAAATGTAAAAAAAATAAAATCGATTTTTTTTTCATATGAGGTTTTTGTGAAAATCATCCCCCCACACGCCATTAAAAGAACAAAAGGATAGATTTCGCTGCTAGTAACAAATCAATTATGGCAAATAAGCTTCCTTCAAACAATTTCGAACGATTTCTAAGACAGATTAAATCTCCGCTTACACGTTAATAGAGCGAAATATAGCGCGCGATAATTGCTCCAAATGGCAATCTTTAATCCCCCTTAACTTAACGAAAAATGACCACAGGTGAAATATCTTTCCAAATTAAAGCTCAGAATAACAATAATTTTTGAATGATATAAAATAATTCCGTCAAAAATGGCTACTTAAAAAGTTGAAATTTGTCTGAAGAAAAAAAAACCACCCCGAGCACAAATATTCCGTTACTTTCGTATCGAAAGTCGGAACAATTAATAAAAGTTGTGATGCAAGGCATATTATGAGTTATGCTATAAGTTTGTCAGCAAGGGAATACTTTGTTGGCCAATTAGTGCAAACTTAACTACAACGCGTTTCGATAGTAAGTTATCGGTTGTAAAAACTATGTTGGGGCTCTATAGTACCTAATGAGCAGTTGAGGAAACGAAATACCTAAAGAGCCAAAGAAACAAAATTTTGTCGAGACTGTCGCCTAGAATTGGTTCTGTGGTCCTGGTTAAATCTTAATTGCAATTTAATTTCGTTAATTTTCTGAGTTGTGAGCCTCTCTGAAGATGTGATTACCGGTGATAATAGGGTTCGAATTATATAAGTTTGGATGAAGAGATGAATGCTTAAGTCACTTCTCGACAGTTTCCCCAAAATTAACTTGTAGATTGCGAAATGATTTGTGCATAAATCACAGATCTTGTTAGTTCAAAATCATGGTTTCAATTTATTGAGGTTATTTATAGACTGAACTTTAAACCTCGTGGCGGCGAGTATGCATTGGCATGTGGTGGAATATCTTGTTCTGTTTTTAGTCAACTGTTGGCCCAATGAGGGTGGGGACGGGTGTGAGGTGAACGTGGAGTATGAGTTGCAGAACAGGAGCCTCGAGCTCAGAGGAGTCCAGATCGAAATACCCATCCCGTTAGTAGCCACATTATTATCTCTCCTGTTCGCCCGCCTATTTTCACAAGCACCAGTTTTCTTGCAAAGCAGGTCATTTTTTTCTAATAAAACAGAAGTATCTAATTTACCTCTAAAATTGTTAATGAACAAGTGATTTATCACTTAAATAGATCGCGTTGAATTGTTTAATAAAAAAGTCTTTAGACTTGCGATTAGCAATCGTTATTGCCCTTGCGATAAGCATGCGTATTGCAATCGGGTACTGGACTTTTTCCCTCGTAATTAACTTTGTTCACAGGGGTGTTCGCAGGTCTTCTGGACTCATCTCTAGTGGTACCTTGTTTCAAAATAAATTAAATTATTGGCGTTCTCGGCGCACTTAGTTTGGAGGTAACGTATACGCCTAGGACGGCAAAGGTCCTGGGTTCCAATCTGACCAGGAACTATTTTTTTTAAACGGGAAATGTTCTCAAAAATATAATTGTCGGCCAATTATTTGTCTGCTTATCTGTTGTCGGCCTAGTTGTCACATCGTGGAATTATTTATTTTTGCTGCGCGCATTTTCTTTTTATGTTACGTTTAGTGTTTGATGTACTTCTACAATTTGTAATTTTATTTACCTTGACTTCGTATTTTTCTTCCGCTAGAACTTTTTGTTCAGCTCAAAATAATTAGGCCTATTTTTATCGGCTTAGTGACCTATTTTTGGGTCGTTTCTAGGGAAACAATTTTGACGCCCCCTCCGCTCTTTTTAGGCTAGTAATATTACCATTCGGTTTGCTGAATTTTTTTCTTCATATTTTTAAGAGTAATGAACGTAGTGAAGACTCTTATATAGGTCTTGCTGATTTTTTTCAGGGAAAAGTCTGAAAATATTGATGCACTTAATTATAATGCACTTTTTGAGTTCAATTGAAATTCATATGCTGAAGGTGACGTAAATAGCACTCTCCAAATACGAACGTGTAAATGGCGCAAAAAAAACGTGAACGGTTACTAGTTTCGAAAGTGGAATTTATTTTAAAGATTTCCGAGCGGGATAAAAACTTTACCTATTGATCCCGTTTTCTCAAATGGGGTTCATGTTATCAAAAAGCGACAGTCATAAATTTTTCTAGAATTTCAAGAGCTTAAATTGCATATAGTTTCTTTAAAATTCGAAAGTTGAGTTTTTTGAGTGTTTTTTTTTTTAAATGTACATTGCGTTCGTTACTCTTTTCCAATCTTCGATTGGCTATGTTTTTGGTGTATGGTATGTTGGCTTAGAAGCCTCTTTTGAGTCGTTTGAAGATCAAAAAGGTTTTTTATTAAGAGTAACGAACGTAGTGAAGACACTTATATAGGTCTTACAGATTTTTTTGTTGTTTTTTTTTCAGGAAAAGGCTTTAAAATCACTAATAACTACAGATGTGCATTCATACATATTGATTCATTTTTTAATGCACTTAGGTATATATGCACTTTTTGAGTTCAATTGAAATTAATCTGCTGAAAGTGACTTAAATAGCGCTCTCCAAATACAAACGTGGAAATGGCACGAAAAAACGTGAACGATTTCTAGTTTCGAAAGAGGAATTTGATTTTTAGATTTCCAATGGAATAAAAACTTATGGATCCAGTTTTCTCTAGTTGGGTTCATAGTATCAAAAAGCGCCAATCATAAATTGTTCTAGAAATCCAAAGAGCTTAAAGGGCATCTAATTTTTTTCTTTAGAACTCGAGAGTTGAGATTTTTCAAGAAAGTCAGTGTTTTTTTATGTTTACTTGCGTTCATTACTCTTTTCCCATCTTCGATTGGCTATCTTCTCAACTCTAAAAACACGAATATTTTTTCACTCTATAAAGACGAGAGACATTTTTCTGACTGTCCCTGAATAGTCAACATTTTCAATGAGTATTTCTCGTCGGTTGGCACCAAATTGGCTTCGATTTAAAACCACGTAAAATTTGTTAGTCCCGTGGTTCAAATGGCATAATCAAGTCAAGCTATTTATTTAATCAACTGCTTATTTGTCGAGGTAATTAAAGTTTAAAATAGCCTGAAACCTCAAGAAATTTATGAGGTTGATGAAATAAGTTTTTCGCTCAACTAGTTGTTTTGTGATAGAACCTTATTTAACATACTTGACTAATTTTTGTTTTTCTGATTTTTTTCCAGAACCCAAATTTGCAAAAGTTGTTTCACTTCTCATTGCTGAAAACAGGATGAAAGAGCAATTTTCGCCCAATTTCACTCTTGAGTAGCTGCAGCAAAATAATTGAAAAAATTATGCACTCTCGCATTAAGAACTATCTGCAAAAGTTTGAACTATGGTTTCATCGAAAGTGTGATTTCCGGGAGACTTTGTCACGGTTGATGCATTAGCCGAGTTAATGCCGGGAATAAGACGATCAGTCAATAAAATTATTAAATGTAACTTCTTTGTTGATTTAGAGTTTTAAGGTCGAATGCTACGGAAAACGTATCAATTGTTACAGATGGTTTGAATGCTGTTTGTCAATGAAAGGTCCTTGTGTAAATGTGATTAATTGTTCATCTTATGGGCTACCAATCACTGCAGGTGTACTTCAAGGATCTGTTGTAGGCTCGTTTCTTTTTGTTTCGTTTAATTGATGTGCATCATGCAGTTTCCAATTTAATTGTTTTTCTTTGTGCAGACGATATAATTATATCATGTGATTTATCATATTTCAAGACGGATTTTCAATTAGATGTAAAATCCAAATATTCCGTGTTTTGTTCGTGTTCATTGTTTTTCAACTCAGATAAAATTACCAATGAGTTTTGAAGAAATAGAAGTGCTTCTAATCTTTGTGTCAATGTTCTTGAGAATTGTTATCAAGGTCAATCAAAATCTATCATAGGGTGGCATTGTGGTATAGTTTCAAATCTGAGATACTATGTACCATCTTCGATCTTGCTCAAATAATATCAGTCGAACAAAAAGCCAATAAAATGTGATTTCCTCGCCTAAGGTGGCACAAGTTTAGTTTTTTCTTTTTTTTTCGTTGTGCAATTTGTTTGAGTTAAGTTTCCGACCGGCAAATAAAAGACATTTTCCAGTTTTTCTGAATTCTTTGTGCTCAATTAAAAGTTGCGTATTAAACAAGAAGTTCAAAATGTACAATTTTCGTTCCCCCATTCTGTAAACATAAATTAAGTTTTCATTTTTTTTTTTACAAACAGAGGAGTGAAAGTACTGAGAACGATGAGCGAAAATAATCTGTTGCCTGACAATTTCGAGAAATTGACCGTATATGAAGAAATGGTTTCTGTCCATAAGTTTTCAAAAAACAATTCGTTACTTGGTAATAATGGACTGGTACAACACTTATTTCATGAGATATTTAATTTTTGTTATCAGATAATCAGTTTCAAGTTACGATAGTCGCCTGAAAAAATTGAAACTCCAAATCTTGTTTTCAAGATATCGCAACTTGATTAATTATCGTCAAGTTATTCAAAAAATACCAAACAAACATTTCTTTCTAAGCCCATATTTTCTTGATAGCTGATTTTTAATGTAAGTTTGCTCCTCTAACCGTAGAGGTTGATCCATCTATTTCTTTTCAAATTTAGATCAAAAACATTTAAAAAATTAAAAAGTTTATCTTTTTTGTGTTAATTTTCCTGTCTTTATCCATGGGTATTTGAAACATTGTGTAATTTTATTGATGGCAGTGTGGCCGCGTGCTGATGACTTGTGCTAATTTTCCCAAAAAAAAATTAAGTAACCGCTCAAAATTATTTTAATTGATTTTATTTTTTTTATGATTATTTTAATTTAAAATTATTTGACTTGCGGGTAGCCTTTTTGTATGGGAGCAATGCGTGGTTCGTCCATTCCTTCCGATTTCCTGTACTGAACATATTGCTTACTTTAAATTCTACCCACTTGAAAATAAATTGATTATAGATTGTTTCAACTTGATTTTTGATAAATAAATCCTTCTTCGTTCATCTGTCACTAGCTTAAGCTCTTCTCAGTTTTTGTGTTTTATTTCCATTTTTTTTTATCGTTACCGAATTTGATCTGCAATCTGACTAATGAAGACTCATCGGCTTACTGAATTAAGCTCCGTATTTTGGTGAGTTATGTTGGCGTTGTGCTAATCGATTTTGTCTATCTGCACTATATATCATGAAAATATGTGTCTGTCCTGTATCTCGTAAATTTGGTACAAATTAATTGACTGAAATGTTGAATACGTTTCTCATTAGGTTCAATCGCTGTGATCCAAGTCTTGAAAAGAGCGGTAGTATCTAATTTAGGTGGTGTATTATAAATGTGCTGAAAATGAGTAGATGCTGATCATTGCGTGTTTTGTTGCTTGTAGTTCGAATGCGGGTGCGCCGGTGGTGTCGGAGATAGACGGTAACTACCAGTTTGAGTCCAGAAGAGGTGCTCTGTTCTGGCGCCTGGAAGTGGTGGACCAGCACAACTCCACCGGCACCCTGGTGTTCACGTGTGGATCCGCCAACCCAGACACTTTCTTCCCCATCCATGTCTCATTCTACTCCCCAAAACTTATCTCAGACGTCCAGGTATGTTCGTCATGCTCATCTCATTCACTGCAAACCTTACAAGTGATTTTTATATAATCGGAGTTTTGAGTTGTATATCGAGGCGACTGTTTTAAGTGTCAATGATCGTAGTATATGGTTATGTGGCAGTATTTGGACAACCGCGTATTCATGCTCGTCAGTAAGCAGACAAATACCATTTTAACCACTCAAAATCGAGACAAGGAATCAATTATTAATTATTTATTTCATAAGTTTGCTTTCCCATCTCGATTCTGATTGGTTAATATAGTATTTGTCTGCTTACTGACGAGTATGAAGACGCGGTTGTCTAAACACCGACCGCAGTCCGTAGTATATAAATCGTGATAATTTTTTCCTGTTTCTTTTTTCAGCAACAAGTCTTTATACTAGCGTCAGCGTAGTGTTTTATTAAGATCTTTCTTTTTTTCTGAGCTAACTCGCAAATAAAAGTGCTCATTTAAAGTGTTCACATATTTGGAAATTTCACTGGTAATTGCATAGCATCTGTCCTCGGCTTTTTTTGGTGCTAGTGTTTAATTTTCTATCTACTGTTAAGCTTCAACGGCCGAGTGGTTAGCGTGTGTGGCTCTTTAATCTCAACGTCGCAGAATCGAATCTCAGCCATAGCCTCTGTGTAAAGTGTTTGTAAAGTGCAGCTTCGCCTCTGTGTAAAATTTGTTCAGGCTCAAGTTTTTAGCGGTTTGACTTTTCATTTTTTTCTGAATTCAATTAATTTCCTTCTTACTCGAGCGTAGCGTAGTGTGATAGTTTTCCAACCTAAGTCGCACCTAAAGGTGCTACATTTGGTGGCACTGTTGAATTAGTGTGCTGCATTAGCAATATATTTACATGTGCTTTGACATTTGATTAGTAATACGTCAACACAGTTGATGTTTTTTTTCTAAATTCGTTATTTGAATGGAAAAAGGTTTTTCGATTTATACCACAGTTTAATAGTCCAAGTTCAATTTGAGAAATTTTTCAGCTCGACATACTTCGCGAGGGTTTTGAAATGCATAATTTATATGCATTTTGGTTATACATTCTAATTTATTACATGCAGAGTTAATTTTGGTTGCCTTTAGTTAATTATATTCCAAATTTTTATATGCAAAATTGAGTTTTAATGTATTTTGAAGCTCCCGTATCTTTGCCGTGTTTACAAATGCGAGCATAGTGTCATATTGCGAAATCTGTTTTTCCATTCTAATTTGCAAATAAAGTGCTCTTTTGCTGGCTTTCTTGCTTCAATGCATAGCATGGAAAAATGAATAGCATCTGTAGCTGCTTTATTGCTGGTTTGTGGTAATTTATTTCAAACTAATATGGCGCAGATAAGAGGACTTGAGACTCATGTCAGGGAATTTCGTTCCGGCACGAGATAAAATTTTGTTTTGTTTATTTTTTCTTTCCTCAGTTCAATTTGTTGTATTTTTAAAGTTACTTTGCGCTTTTTTTGGCTTTGTTTGCGAAACAGAGCTCCGCCTTCGTCTAAAAAGAACGCAAACTCAATTATTCAATAGCAATACTTTAAAGGTCAGGAAAACGTAATCGACTTCTTGTATCAAAAAATAGGTTTTCATTTTCAGATTTCCTAGCAGAAATTTTTTTCGACCTATTGAACCATTTTTTTTCTAATTGAGTTAATTTTATCAAAAAAGTGTCAATCAAAAATTGTTTTGAAATTCGAATATCCAGCAGGGTATATTTTTTCTTTGAAATTCGAAAGTTCATTTTTTTGTAATCAGAATGACTATTGAAAGCGATTTAATGTGATACCACATTTAACTTGAAGATTTTCTTGAAGTAGCCAAAATTGGATGGGTAGAACCTTACTACGCAATAACTTCTTCGGAACCTATTAGTAGTTCAGCATTTATGAGTGATTCATTGGATTGTGATTGGAAGATAGAAGTTGATACTACGCAGTTTTAAAGACATTAGGTTCTATTTTGGAGGTAATGAGCTCAAATCCGGTAGGCGACAATTGAATAAGCAAACCTATACATTTTTTTCTTTTTTGCGATAGTGTATCAGTACGAACCTTCTTTTTTTCTAACCTGACTCGCAAGTAAAAGTGTTACTTAAAAGTGTCCACTTAATTGGTGGCACTTGCTATAATCACGATCTGCAGCATTGGGAATTTTATAGCATCCACTCTCTGCTTTAATTATTTGTGATTAATTAAGCGTCCGTGGCTGAGTGGATAGTATGTGAGTTTCATTTCACTAACGAGTAAGCGAGCGTTAGTGTATTTGTATGAACCTTCTTTTTTTCTAACCAAATCGCAAACAAAAGTATTGACTTATTTCTTTGATGCTATAATCACAATCTGTAGCATTGGAAGCTTCATAGCATTCTGTGCTCTACTTTTTTGTGGTTAGTGTTGTTATTTATCACTAGATTTTTGTGGCTAGTATTGTTAAGTGTCCATGGCTGAGTTGTTAGTTTGTGAGACTCATAATATCTAAGTCGCAGGATCGAATACCACATGTAGCCGAATTTTTACTAATTCGAGGCTTATTTCTGAATCTTTCTGTGATTTGTAATAGAAATTATTTCTGTTCAGATTGATCGTGTGACCCAAAGCCAAGACGACGACAATGTTTCTCTCAGATATTCCACCGAGTCATCTTTAGTCGTGGAAAAGTACGACATAATTTAGTGACGACTCGCGAGAAGAAAGACTACAGTAAAAAGTTCGATCAATCATCAATCGTTGGAAAGGGATGGGAATGTTTAAACGGAAAAAAGTACATCACAAAATGAAACTGCGCACGAAAAAACCTTGTAATTGATATCCTGTTACCACAGCAAAATTCAATGCGGAATATTTAGTATGGTAAAATTGTGAAATTGAATTGTGACGGCAGAGCAACGCATTTATCAAAAGTTTTTTTTCTGTGTAAAATATAAATAAATTTTCGACTTCACAATTTGGATATGATCATTTATTGTTTATAATGAGTATTTCGATGCAAATAATGATTAAACTTGTTGTTGATGAAGTTTTGAATTAATTGGATTGGAAAGTAATCCCCTTTAAAGTCCCGATTAAAATTCTCCCCTCCATTTTCGGGCCTGTTTTATCTTCATATCACCCAAAACATTTTGCAGTGCCGTGTCGTATTTCCATTCCTGGCTATTACATAAAAATTAATGTGTAAAAACATAGTATAAGTCTTTGCTTTTATTGGGTATGTTTTGTCGGTCGTTCCATTGGCGCAATTTGATGTCTCATTTGAACGATGCTTCGAATAATTTCCTTTTTGAGGTTTTTGGATGTAACATAATTTTGACAACTTTTTTTCTTATTTTCCTGTAAGGAATTATATTGAAGGAATTGCAATCAAATCTAGTGTGACTGATCTCACGTAACGTGAACCCTACTGACCTTTTGATCTCCACTTGTCACTAGTAGAAGCAGAAGACGGGTTTGTGGAATTTGTAATTGTTATACTATTCTTACGATGAATTTCAGTGGTAAATATGATGCTATGGGAGTTGTTATTCGATTAAAATGTCATTATAAATACATATATAATGGGTTAATTATCAAGTTTATTCTCAATTGTTTTGTTTAAGTTCACGAGCAAGAGAAAGTGTCTTCTGAGGGCTATTTGAATTTTAAGTATGGACGAAGTTCTATTGCTTTAAGTCGTACGGTGTTTTGAATTTTTATTGGTTAGTTTTATTTGTTCACACGCATTTTTTTTATATACACGTTCTAAGTTATATTTTGATTAACTTGACACCTGCGAGAGCAGATTTTTAAATTCAATAACTAGACTTTTTCCAGTAACCAATTCTAATTCTAACAAAATTTGGGAGAAATTCTAGTACAGCTTGCGACCTAGTTTTGGGTAATAGCAATGCTTTGAGGTTCTTTGAATCCAGCAGCCTCCAAAACATTTCTTATTATCCTTTCGATAAGCAAGAGTATTGCAACTAGCTACTTTTTTCCCGTAATTAAAGTTGTTCAGAGTACTCACTGGGCTCATTTCCTGAAAGCCTCTCTTAAGCAAATTTACTGCAACTGACTTACTTTGTTCATGTTAGTTTTTTAGATAACTGTCTTGTTCGGAATTTGCTTTTTAAGATGAATGTAATTTTACCAACTTGACTTTTCGAAAATTCGTTTGACTTTCTTATTCTGTATGTTTTGAGGGTGAGGGAAACTTAATACTTTTTTATTAAGTATTTTTGAATTATTTTTCGGCGTAACAGGTTTCTGAGACGATATTTTTGGCTCTTTTGCCGCTATTTTAGTTTTCTTCCGAAGCTAATTTCACATTCTTTTGTCTTGGCATGGTTTTGTTTCAAAACTACTTTTTCATTTTGAGTTCTCAATATTTTATTTTTCAAATTATTTTTATTTTTTTTTTCGTTAGCGGCTTTTTAGTTAGTTCTTTTTTTTAGTTAGCGGATTTTAAATTTCGATTCTGCGAAGCTCCGTTTTGCATTTGTGGAGAATTTTTTTGGTGAAACGTCTATTTGCAGTCTAATGAATTCAAAATGCGTAAGAAAACTGAAACTAACTATCATTTAAGAGTGAAGTTATCAAAAAAATATACTAAAGTTACCATGATTTTCTTCTGTAAATCAGTTGAATGAACTTGTTTAGTTTCGAACTTTCATTTGCCTGAAAGAAATCAATAACTGCTAATATAAAAAGGTGATTATTTTTTATGAAGTTTATTTAGCCAACTTACGATACTTATTGCGCGCGTAATTTTAGTATTTTTTTGTTTGCTGCAACTGGAAATTTTTAAACCGCAAGCACGCTAATGAATATAAATAATGTGTCACTAAATGAGAAAGATTTCATTTCGCAAAGCAAATTCCTGAATGTAATGTCTGTTCTTAAGGCGTCTCAAGCTATTTTGTTTGAATTTATTGATAGAATTTTTGAAAAAAAAAATGTTGAACAAATGAAACTCACAAACAGTAATTGGTGTTCAGTTAGGTCACTAAAAAATTACTTTCTCCTGGTTAGTAATTGTTTCACCTGGTTAGTGCGTAAATTCAACATAAACCTTCTTGAAGGATAAGAACGCTAAAGTATGGTCAGCTTACTTATTTAAATAAACTGAAAGCAATGGAATATTTAAAGATACCAGTTTTAGGATTTCGTTTTAATTTTTTGTAAATGTTGGCTGAATGATTCGACTAGGAAAGGAAAAATTATCAATTTAGAAGTTAGCGAAATTATGTATTTAGAGAACATTGACGTTCTGAACGCAGCTATTGTTCTTTAGATGCGAAAACAGAAAATCACTATTCAATTTAATTTAGTACGGTGTTTTGCTGTCGCCGTGGCAGCTTTTTGACCATTCTGAACTTCTATGAGGTACTTTGGTAAACACTCCTGTTTGCCTTTTGGCTTTCTTTCGATCAAAACATTTGCTTATGGATCAAACTTTGCTAGGTCTTGGTTGCCTGATGAATAGTGTTTTCTGCTCGATGCACAGTCTACTTGCAGCACATGACTTGGTCAATGAGCACTAATTTCTTCCCATTATCTCCCTCCTCCGCCACACTTATGTCCGATGCGTCATGTTGTCTCATCGAGAAGCAGTTGCAACTAGCCGATGTCGTTTTCCTAATAAGACATAAATTTAAAATTTGCTCATAGTCTTTTTGGATCTACTTAACAATCGCCCTCGCTTTGGTACCTACTAAAGAATTGCCACCACTATAAATAAAAGCAGTGAATAGTACAAGAGTTTGTTTTTTTAAAATTCAAATTTTGCTGCATTCTGATTGGTCGAAAGTTCGGCAAATTAATCTACTTAACAATTTACTCCCCCTCTGTTGAAAGGCGGGGAAGGTGGATTGTTAAGTAGATCCAGGGGCGGATCTAGCATTTTCTCGATTGGGCGGATTTTCAAAAAAAAATTCGAAAATTTTGTCGACCTTTTTTTAGGTCGACCAAATTGATTTTCCGAGCTCTTCCAAAGCCTTTAAAAGACCCTGTTTTGGCCAAAATTTGTTCGCCGTAGGAAAATTAACATAGTCAATCGAAGATTGGAAAAGAGTAATGAACGCCAGTAAACATTAAAAAAACACTGACTTAGTTGGAAAACTTTCGAATTTCGAAAAAAAAAATAGATGCACTTTAAGCTTGAATTTCTAGAACGATTTGTGATTGGCGCTTATTTAATAACATTAACCCAACTTGAGAAAACTGGATCAACATGTAGAGTTTTTTCCGCTGGAAATTTAAAAATAAATTTCCACTTTCGAAGCTAGAAATCGTTCACGTTTTTTGCGCCATTTCCACGTTCGTATTTGCAGAGTGCTATTTACGTCATTTTCAGCAGGTGAATATCAATTGAATTTAATAGAGACTTTTGCTTGACAAAAAAAAACAGCAAGACCTAAATAAGAGTCTTCACTACGTTCATTAAGTTTTAAAAAAACAGGCCAAAAACGGCTTTTTAGGGCATTTTTGAAAAATACTCACCAAAAAATCGTTTTTTTTTCGGCGCGCGCTCCCCCTTCGCATTTAGTATAGATTGGTGCCTATAGAAGGCGTTTTTAGAAAATTTTTAGGTTCCGTCACAAAAAATGGATATCAGATTTTCCGAGCGTTTTGAGTTTTCAATTTTGTAGATCATTGGTCGGAAGATTTTCCGAGACAAGTCTTTAAAAATGAAAAAATTTGTCAGTACGATCAAAGAGAATTAAAGAACAAAAAAGAGCGTCCGTGTTGCGGAATCCGCTCACAATTCACTAAACACTCAGTTTGGTCTTAAAAGGAAAGCAAGCGAGCAAAGTTGCAATAGGGACTAAAGACGTACTTACCTAATTTTACTCCAAGAATATGATTTTTTATTTTTATTCAGTCTCTTGTAAGACGATGTTTTGATTAAATTGCTATTCAACTTATGTTGCGAATTTTTCAGGACAAAAATTTATGAAGCTTTATCTGTTTCAGGAGTTATAATCGTAAAACTTGAAAAAAGTTCAATAGGTAGAATAATTATGTCTGCAGTTTCGTTTTCGGCTTAACGAGAATGGACCCGAAAATTCTCGCCTTAATTTTCGAAAGTGTCAAAAAGTTGAATATATATTTTATTTCGGATTCTTGATTTGCTACGTATTTAAGGTGTACGGCTTTTTTTGGATTCGATGAAATGAAAAGAGCAATCAACCGGATAGAACAACGGAATCCAGAAGTGATCAGCGCAACACTGAAGCTCATCGGGAGGTTAAAAGAAGGACTTGAGAGAATGTTCAACACATCCGGGTTAATCCTGAATAATCCGCGCAATCAATTTGGAATCGAAAAACTTTTTTTCATCAAGCGTATGTTTGGAAGTGCTTGATTGTTTAATTTTGCTGATATTTTTTTCTAATGTTGTTTTTCTAAAAAAAAACACAGAAACGTTCAGAGAAAGATTACCAAAGCAAAGCTTGTTTGAGAGTATGAACTCTTTTTTCTTTCCAACCTAAGTTCCAAACATTAGTGTTCATTTTGAAATTTTATCGCAGTATGTGTGTAAGATCAATAACCAGCTATTAAGTACAACCAATGTTAAAGATATTAACACAGACTATTATATTACAAATAACACTTTAGCTTCAAGGTATCATGAATCTGTAGCGTAGAGGTAGGGAAGGAGACCCGCAACTAAAAAAAGTGGAACCTATTCGGGCAGGGTCGGATGTTTTTAATGAATTTTTTCGTGAACTAGTTAAAATGCGTCCGCTTTATAAATTGAGGCATGTTAGATTTTTTTTCAAATCGACTGGTACTGCCAATGCGTCATAATTAGCTTGCATCACTTAGCAATTAATTATGTAGACTCATAATTGGCGTGCGTCACTCAAGAAATTATTTAGGCTCAAAGTTTTACTTATTCAATTTTTCCCAGTAGCGTTATCAGTAATATTTTTGCTTTATTATGCGAAGTACAACTTCGCCTCTGTGTATCAAAAATGACTGTGGGCGGATTATTTTGATATACCATGACAGCAATCGACTTTTTGTATTGGGGTGTGTTTTACTTTGGATCATTTGAGCAATCCCGCATCCCATTCTCGCGTGGGTAGAGTTAGCTCAAGAGGTACTTAATGCTTGTTTGTTTATTATCACTTGAAATTAGTGTAGAGCCGAATTTTTGTACAGATGCTTACAAAGCCAACTTTTACCTGTCATTAATGAAAAAAAGTTTTCATTTTTGGTATTAAGATCTTTTGTAGCGTTTTAACGCCTTTTTGCATTTTAGAACCACTTTGGTATTAAGATCTTTTGTAGCGTTTTAACGCCTTTTTGCATGTGACGAGATATCTCAATCGGTCATTACGGGGTTTGGGGGGCTGGGCATTTGGGGAGATTGCTCAATTGATCCTTTGGTTTTTGAATGCATTATCACTTACTTTCTCTTCAGTTGAGATCTCGTTGGCTCTTTCTTCATAACATCTGCTGCAGTCACTTTTTTGTCTCCAACGCCTGAAAAAAATCTTCAAATTTTTAAATTAATTTTTAAAATTGCAATTACGACTGCTATTCGACCTTAAACTTTCTATATGTCAAATACTCTATTTAAGAAAAAAGTTTGTAATGAGTTAATAAAATCATTACTAGTTTTTTGTGATCAATATCAACATAAACAGCAGATCAATTTTTCAAATTAACAACAGCTCGACCGGTTAGAATTTACTTTTTGTGGTCATTATGAAAGAATTTCTTCCGCAAAATTCAATCCCCCTTGGCAAAATACATTTTTTAACGCCAAAAGCCCTGCAACAGATTGAAAAAAAGGCTTAGCAATACTCATCAAAGTTGATGAAGGTAAATTTGAGAAAAAAATTCCTCGGCGGTTAAATAAGTCTCCCAGATATCAGACACCCAGATTCGCCAACAGAATCTAGCTTTTCTTTCCCCTAGCTTAAGTACGATACTCAACGTGTTTTGAAATGCCAAATCTAAACCAAGTGAGTTAAAAGAAAATACCTTTTTTTTCAAAATTTCAATGAATCTCTCGATTTGATTAGATTTTTATATGAAAATTTAATTTGAAAAAAGTGGTTTCTGACGCCAAAATGAGCAATTTGACTCACTTGGTTTAGATTTGTTGACCAAAAAAAGATTCGATGACCAAAATTGAATGTAATCCGACGACATACCGTCTATCTCTTGTTGCACTTGTACTTGTTTTATCTCAGCCACCACTTTCCCCTCCAGTGCTTCTGAAGTCTGACATTGAATACTCCTCGTACCCTCTCGCATATTTGGACCCCCCTGCCCTCCTTCTAACTTGGTCACACTCTCCTTCTCCTCATTTTCAAGTTGTTCTGAATTCGCCCTCTGTTCACGCGTGATCACCTCATAGTGCTCGTTTTGTTCACGCATATCGCCATTATGGTTTGAAGTTTTGTGGATAGTGTCGCAAATAGCCGAAATCCCACTTTTGACTACATTGACCGAAAGGGAAAATAGCTCGTCGTCAGTTCCGCTGCTCTGATCCATACCAGACCGCCTACCTCTCGGAGGAAGCTTCTTTTTCAACGTTTTTGCCTCCACAGCTGAAAAAATAACTGAAACTAGTTTTGAATTTTAGACAACACTCCTAATTGGTGCGTTTCAACACTGCGTTTCCGACAACGCCAATGTTAGGAGTATAACCTTTCATTCGTCATAAATAGGACCGCGCGTAAAATTGAAAAATGCTAAATTGAACGAAAACAAGAATAATTGGTTGATGCCCAAGCAGTACATATAGTTTCGACCCCAGTTAATTTTGTGAAATTTAAGTCTTTTTTATGCGCGTGAGGGCAGAATCTAGAAATACTCAATGGTTTTATTAAAGAATTTTTAGGAATCTGAAATAATTTTTAGTTGAAATTTAAAAAATTCTGCAAAAAGAAAAAAATACCTTCAACAACACGCAAAGTTCATTACAAAAGGATAATTTCTCATCAAATAGGACATTAATTGGATCAATACTATTCGTCAACTCGGGTTGAAAATTTTCTTCGCGGGGTTTATTCGCTGCTTGTGAGTTATAATAATGCATACATAATTGCCCACATAACTTTACCGAAAAGTGATCACAGGTGAAACAATTTCTTATTTGTGAGCTCAGGCATTCGTTTCGTTCAGACTGCGATAAAACTTTTTTTCTTAAATTGCTACTTGAAAACTGCTTTGAGGAAAAAAACCAGCTCGAGCAGAATTGTTCTGCCAGTTTCTTTAGACACCGTAGTCCTAAATTCGTACTAAAATTGTGTAACAGGCAACTTTTTGGATTTTTAAAAATATTTTTTCACACAAATTGCGACTGAAAATTTTTTAGAAAGATAGTTCACGCATCCGCATTTGATGTTGGTTTATAGTAACTGATATTGTGTAAAAACAAGAAAAAAAATCAAACACAAATATAAAAAGTCCTTTCCGTTTCGTGGTTGGAACTACAAAAACGAAAAACAGTTAGACAAAAACAGTTAGACAAAAACTTAAAAACGCAGCAATTTGACAAAATGAAAAATTTAATTTTTTAGTAAAAAATCGAATACTTCCTCATACTATCGAAACTTCTAATACCTAATACAAAAAATCTTGGCCTTTTGGATTGATTATTGACAAAGAAGAGCACAAACTCGAAATTGTTGTACACCTAATCTTTGTTGAGTTTTTATCATGAATTTTGTTTCTGGAATTTTTTTTCAGATTGTGATCAGTTTCTTCAATGTGCAGGCTCTTTTTTGTGTTCCGACCATGAAGTAGAAAGAACCGTTATTTTGAGAATAGTTTTTTAAAGATTTTTTCCGCGCATAATCAAGTACGACTATTAGATGTCACATGGATTCAACTGATAAGCTTAAAGGAATTCGAGCAAACGCAAAAAAGACCACTAATTTTAACAATTATTCTTAAAACATAATCAAAACATTGAAAGGTTTTGAACCCACTTTTAGGAAAATGGACGAAAAGACAAACTTTTTTACTGAAAACTATGAAAATTGAAATTAGCTTTCAAAACTAAAAATCGTTCAAACTTCTTGCGCAGCTTGCAATTCCATTAGTACTTGAACGGAATATGAACCTAAACTTAAATCAAAATTAAGAAAAAAATAGGCATAAACAACTTTTAGAAAAAAATTACCCGACTCTTAAAAAAATTTCGAATAAATTAAAACTTAAATGAAATCAAAATCGAAAAACTAAATTTTCGCGCGATCTTTTTCAAGTTTTTTAAAACAACTGTTAGTTTTTTTGATTGACACTAGAATTTACATATTTGTTCTATTTTTTGCACCATTTGCACTTTTGTTTTCATGGATACCGCTACTTGTCTTCCTTTTGGCTGATACATTCGAAGTCAACTTGATTAAAAGTTCAGAATAAAACAGTAACAATTAAACGTGAGCGTGATTTTTCCCTGATAGAAATTTTTTCATGGAAAAATTTTTTCCGAAAGAGTTCGAAACGTTTATAAACAAAAATTCATTTTTTAGGTCTAAAATTTTTTTTTTCACTCCTGGAAAAAAAACGGATTGAAACTCTGGCTTAGAGTTCAGAGTCATCATTCTTGATGCTGATTTACTTTGATTTGGTTTGTATTGCTTGTACTATCTAGTTTTCAGACCGTCCTCCCCACTCACACTCATAAACATAGCAAACAGACCAATGGAAAATAGTCAAAGAACGCAATTAAGTTTAAAATAAATGCCGACTTCTTTTTCGACAAAATCCCAGTTTTTCAATTTCAAAGAAAAATGAATGACCTCAAAGCTCTTTGAATAACTAGAACAATTTATGACTGGCAATTTTTTGACAAAATTGAACCAATTTGAGGAAACTAGTTCAAAAGGTAAGTGTTTTCTTTTACTGGAAAGTCTGAAACCTAAATTCCATTTTGAAAATTAGAAGTCAACCACGTTTTTTGTGACCTTTACATTTTCGCACTTTTATAGTGGAGCTTTTTTTCCTTTTAAAAAAAAATGAAGTGAGCTTAAGAAAAATCAAAGGCCAAACCGCGAAAAAGTAAATTTGAGCTTAAAAAAACCTTAGGATTTTTTCTGAAAAAAAAAACGAAAAACGCGATATAGGAGTGTGAATTATGCTCATCGACTTTTAAAAGAATGAAACATAACTGAACAAAAAACATAAATTAAAACTATATAAATCAAAAAAATACGTTAGATTAAAGTACATTGATGCCTCCCTCAAGCTTACATTCAAGAACTTATTCATCAAGGGACTGAAAACTTATGATAATTGTAAGTGTTTTTACACTGGGTATAGATAAAATAATGAACGGAAATGCAGATGTGGTGCTTTCAATGAACTAAATGTTCTGACCATTTGAAAAACGTAGAGGCACTTTATATTCGGGTGTGTTTTAATTTTTTTATTTTTTTATTTTTGTTTTCCAGGAAAAAATTGGTGCCACCAAAAACTATCGAGAAAACCTTTAGGCTGAGCAGGCTTACAAAAGCTTATTTATGCTTAATGTAAGCTGTGAAAATTAACTTTATTCAAATAAATTTAGTGTTTGGAGTTTTTTAGCGCTAATTTGGGAATCAAAAACTTCAAAATTCAAAAATCTTTTGCACGGTTTTCCAAACTTTTTTTTCGACTTTCTAGTCAGTTTTCTACAAAAATTGTTTTGCTATATTACTATAAAAGTCAAATATGCCTAATTTCTATTTTTTCGTTCAGATTTTTTATCACACCATGCAGAAAAAACGACACTAATTTGAGTTTTTCTACGACTATTGCTGAAACATTCTCTGCTGCTTTACTTGCACAGTAATCGGCTATGTTTTTTCGTTTTGATTTCTCCTTTTTTGATTAATTTTTGCCGAAATTTAACTTTTTATTCCAGCTATCTTGTTGTCTTTGTCAGATTTTGAAAATCAAAAAATCGTATAATTGTTCAGAAAAAAATAGTGAAAAATCTGTTAAAAACTACATTACCTAAGCATCTATGACATTTGGCCCAAAAAAATATATTTGACAAATGAAGAAAAAAACTGGAAAACTCTTCACAAATGAAGAAAAAACTCTTGACAAATGAAGAAAAAACTGGAAAAAACTGGAAAATTTTTTATATAAGACAAGTTAACTACTTTAACTAATTGGTCGTCGAGGTGTTCGATTTACGTTTAGCCATTTTTGTTCGAGTCGCTCAAACGATAGTCGAGTAACCGCAACAAGGGCCTGATCCAATCAGAGAAGTTTACCGCTTTTGTTTTGAGTGGCTTCAACTAATGCTAGTTTGTTGCGCAGTGCCATCTGGTCCAGGGGTGGGGGTCGCGAGAGGGATTGTTGTTGTTGTTGTTGTTGTTTATGCTGTTGGTTTTGAAAGTGGGTTTGGAAATGGTTCCGACTCAGTTCCCAGTTACTGACTGGCTCTGTCATGGCACTGCTGCTGTATGGACTGTTGCCACTATTTTGCTCTGCTATGCAGCCCACTTTCTTACCCTTTCCATTCATCATTTCTGTTGTTTCCTATAAATTAGTTGAGATATGTTATTGCAACATAATAAAATAATCAACAAACGATATCAAAGATCTCAACAAGACAACGATATCAACAAGACAGCTCATAAAAGGATGAAACCTTGAATGGTCTACTGTATTCTAAACTCAATCAAAAGCTTTTCGAAAAAAAATAGACAACTTGGTTTTTTTTTTTGAATACTTATTTCCTGTGTTTACTCACATACCAGGCTGTGTAGAAACAAAATAAAACTAAGTGATCTTATTGCTTCTTAGGCTTTACTAGGACGCTACTTGTCTCGATTTGAATTATAGTCATCAAAGTAGTCCTAAGATCAAATCCCTATAACTTTGCGAAATTTTTTGATTTGGGTATCAATATCTTTCAGAATGTATTAGAAACTCCATCAAAAATGGCTGCTTACAAAATCAAGAAAAACTCCCCGAATATAAGTCTACTATCATTTTCTTGAAAAATCAAAACAAATTTTCTTCGAATCCAACTAATTGCAATTTTAAACTTAATGGTTAATTTTCTTACCAGAACGCATTTGTTGACGTCCTTTGATTTGGCTGTACATGAAGAATTTGTTAGTAAAGTTTTTTCCGGTGCGACGCTTTTTTAGACGAAAAGTTGGCCATTTATAGGAAAAGACAATTTAGCCGATTAACTTTTCAGCAGACCAAAGTAATATGACGTGACTGACGTATATCTGGTGAAAATATTTTGAAGAAAACGCCTAACTTAGGGCTGAGTTACCCAATTTGGATAATTGAAAAAAAAAACAGCAAAACTTTTTTTGAGTTTAAGTTTGGGTGGATTTCTCATAGAGTAATTTTGTATAAGGTATACCATCTGTTCCTCACGCTATCTTATTTTCGGCCGGATAGATTCGTGTAACTTCTTAGTCTAATATCGATCCTAATCTTACTCTTATATTTCCTAGTCTCAATAGATACTGTTTGCTAAGTTAAATTTATTCTTCTCTGGCTGCAACTATAGAACGTTTGAGCCGTACAATTTTTTGTAAGCTTTAGTCATGAATCATGATTGGTTAATTCTAAGTGTTTTACGTTGATAGTTATCAAGAATATAGTTGAATATATTAAATACTTGTTTTGATTTGGTTCCATTTTGTTTTATCTTTCGAACAAAACAAAAAACATATGTTTCGGGTTTTTTTTATTTAAGCGTTTTTTTTTACTTTTGAGATCGGCGTTTTTACCAAAGAAAAAAGTAGACACCCTTTGAAAGTTATTGTTTTCTGAAGCTTAAAAGAAAAAACTAAGCTGTGATCCTTTTTTTCCGACTTTTTTATTCTGTCAGTTTTTACCGATCAAAAAAAATAGCTATCAACAAATAATTTTATACCCTTTGAAAATATCGTTTCCTTAGTTCAAAAAATCAATAAGATATTTTACCTCCGATAATTTTTTGTTAAGTTCTGGGGGGTTTGAAAATTGCCAAATTGGCCATGTTCTGCACTGGTTTATGAGCGCTTTGACGAGTTTATTCATAATGCTGAGAGCGTAACGCGAATTACTTATGCGTGTCGAATTATCCCGCACATCAAAATTGTTCCAAATTGATTTGAGGCTAACTAATTGGTCGTATTAATTTTGTGCTCTTTGATTCTGTCCATAATGTATAAATTTTCAAAAATTGCTTTTCCCAAAAAATATTCGATATGATTTACGGGACAGTTGGAACAGTCCGGGTAAAACTATAGGGCTTTCAATTTTGCTAACTTGACCAACTTGGGATAATTAACGCGCAACATATTGCGTTCTTATAGCATTTCTAAACGGCGTATTAAATTGTTCCAAATTTTTTGAAGCATGTGGTTTGGTCTTAATAATAGTATAGCACACAGTAAACCGGCTCTTTTCTACCTCACATTGAGTGTGGGGTATAAATTGGAGAAACAAAAATTTTTTATCAGTTTTCTATTTAAAAATTTTTTTTTACTTCAAGTGCAGTTAAAACATTCCAAACTTCGACCTCAAAAATAAGCAGTCATTTTTTCTTTAACAAGGCTTTGTACGCGAGGGAAAATAATCATGTTCTTGTGCGCAGCAACGGTCGTGCCGAGATCAAAAGCTGCTGAATGACGCGAAGTTAGGGTTTGCTAAACGCCAATGCCGCGTATGACGTTAGCATTCTAGTTTGCTATATGTTTGAAATCAGCTAGAAGATCAAACTACCGAGAAGCATTTCATGTGAAATGCAGATCTGCTACAAAGCACAGCTCTTTGCTCGATTTTTTTTATAGCTTCGAAGTGCCTAATTGCGTGTTATTGCCAGATTTTTGTTCTGACTTTCGATGAAAGTGTAGAATTTTTGTACCTGGGCGGTTTTTTTGACCGATTTTACAAAATTTCACAGCGTTTCGGCAAAAAATGAAATGCCAAGCGAGTATGCTTGCACTAGACTAAAATGCTGATAAAATTGCTAGTCAAAAAGTATTTTGATAAATTCAATAAGCAAAATATTTACGCTTGGTACATTATCTGCACTCATAGTCGTTCCGAAATGAATTGAGGCACACTAATTGATCTTAATAATTGCATACACGACTTAAATTTCAACACTTTGAGATCCAAAAGTTTTCATAGACCACAAGTTTCACGAATCAGAAACTGTTCGAGACCAATTGAAGTGCAGTGCGAACACTCAGTGCATTGCCTTGATACGGGCAGTCTTATTTT